GTGAGCCACCGCGCCCAGCCGGTGTTAGTTATTCTTTAAATGTTTGGTAGAATTCAGCTGTGAAGCCATCTGGTCCTGGGCTTTTCTTTGATTAGAGACTGTTTATTACTGATTCAGTTTCCTTACTCATTATTGCTGTGCTCAGGTTTTCTATTTCTTTATGATTCAGTTTTGGTAGGTTGTATTTGTGTAGAAGTTTATCTGTTTCTTCTAGATTATATAATTTTTTGGTATATAGCAGTTTCTTATGAACTTTTGTATTTCTGTGGTATCAGTTGTAACATCTCCACTTCAGTTTCTGATTTTATTTGTTTTCTCTTTTTTTCCCTAGTTAATCTACCCGAGGATTTGATTCTGTTCATCTTTTCAAAAAAAAACCACAACTCTTAGTTTAATTGATTTTTTTCTATTTTTCACGTCTCTATTTTATTTATTTATGCTCTGGTCTTTGTTATTTCCTTCCTTCTGCTAACTTTGGGCTTAGTTCGTTTCTTTTGTTCTAGTTCCTTGAGGTGTAATGTTTATTTGCAATCTTTCTTCATTTTTTCTTTTAGTTGACTTGTAGTAATTGTACATATTTGTAGGATACAGAGTGATATTTTTTGTGTGCATACCATGTATAATGATAAAAAAGGATTATTAGCATATCCATCACCTCAAACATTTATCGTTTATGTTTTGAACATTGAAAATCCTCTTTTCTAGCTTTTGAAAAGTATACAATAAATTATAGTTAACCTTATCCTACAGTGCTACGGAACATCAGAACTAATTTCTCCTGTATAGCTGTAATTTTGTATCCATTATCCAACCTCTCCCATCTCCCCCTCCTACTCCCATCTTCGAATACCCACGATTCTAGCTCTACTTCCGTGAGCTTAAATATTTTTTAGCTTTCACATGTGAGAACGTATAGTAGTTATCTTTTTGTGCCTGACTTATTTTACTTACCGTAATGTCTTCCGGGTTCATCCATTAAATGAAGCCTGGGCTCTCGTGGGTCCTGTGC